TAAGGAGACTGGAGCAGGGATGAGGTCTATAGGCTGCAAGTCTGATGAGAGACAGCGGGTTTCACGTTAGAATGAAAGCGCATTGGCATAACTGTGTAGATGGGAAGGCTGTAGTTCAGGCCTGAGGTGATTAATCTGCCTGGGATCCAGGAACCCAGGACTGGAAAAGCAGAGTGAGCCCAGAAGTAAGACTGATGTGCAGTGACTGGGTTGAGTGAAGGACTGTAACAGCAGAGGATGCTACAGTTCAGAATGAAGATGCAACAGCAGAGCTGTGCAGGTCCTCGTTTAGATGGGTGGGTACAGGCCGGGAAAGAGGTGAAATGAAAATGTGTTCAGATGCACAATACTACATACATCAAGAGCTGCTGCAGACCAGGGATTCCAGTGAACTGGCAGAGCAGGCCAGCTACAATCTGCAACATAAAAGGGGAACTGCAGTCTGTCAGGACAGCAAGGCTCTGGAATTGCTGAGGGAGGGAGCCTGAACAGCTCCTGCCCACGTCAGGTTGGGCTCTATCCAGTGCCAAGACCTCATCTTCCCTTTCACCAGCGCTTGCATCCTAAGCATGAAAAGAGTGCTTCTTTCCAGTTACATTGTGCAGCCTGCTTGCTCCACCCCCTTGGTGACCTGACAATGGGATCCCAGGTAATTTCCTTGCTTTCCAAGGTTCCTGGGTACATTCCCATAAACCTCAGAAAGAGCTACAAAACTGGCCTGCATCAATTAGTGGCTCAGAGCCTATCTGCTCCCTCTGGTGTGAAAGGGCTTGGCTGTTGGTGTGTAAGACCCAAGGTCCAGGCATGAGTTATGTCTGTGCCTTTGTGCATGGGAGCTCGTTTGAGTGGTACACTGGGGAATACACTGCGGTTTGCTGGCTCGGTTTACAGAGCTGCAGGAAACAACCTAAATGAAACAAAGGGCAGCTCATTGAAAGGTAATACAGAAATCCAATCAGTCTCTGCCTGTGCACAAAACTACATGTACAAACCAGCATGAGAGAGAAAGGGGCAGAGACAGACCATCCTGACTGGCTTCCAGGAGGTGCCTTGACAGAGAAATCCTAGAGACTGCCCATTCCTGACCCAAGAGACTGACCCTAGAAGTGGTCCCTCCAGAGCACTGGCAGAAACTGCTCTGTCACAGCCCAGGATGTACCTCCCTAGTGATAAAACAGAGAGGACTTTAACCCTTTGGGCTGCATCCAGACAAGCGCGGCTGTGTGGTATGTGGCACCGCAGACACATCTACAGTGCCACATACCACACACTCAATTGTTCTCCGCGCTGCAAGGGAGCAGTGTGGAGGGAGTTTTTGACCCCTGAATATCCAGGGCTCAAAAAGCCCACAGAGAAAAAAAGCAGAGCAGCACATGCACGGGCAGCACATGCTGCTCAAAGGAGGAGCTGGGCTGCCTGGAACCACGCTGCAGCTGCCAGCCAGGCTCCTTGCAGCAGACTTGCCACTGCTGCAACCCCGGGAGGTCCCCCGGATCACAGGTAAGGCTGCTGGGACCAGCCTAGTGCTGGCCCCAGTCTCCCCTGCCACCCCTGGGGTAACTTACCATGCACCAGAGCACACGTGGCACAGGCGTCCCCCGGAGACAAGCGGCGGCGGTGCAAGGTGCACTGCTGCTAGTTGTCCCTGGGGTACTAAACGTCCACGCATGTCTATGATTGCAAACCCAGTGCCTTTCGCCAGCAAAACATTCTGAAGGGGAAAAAAATCCTTGATTTTTCTAAAAGAAATGGGAAGAAAAAGTGGCAGCGGGAGGCAAAAGGAAACAGGAATGATCTGCCTCCCCACTGAGGGTGTTTAATGAAATGCTCTAAGGTGGGGGAGGAAAAAAGCTGGCTTTGGGCATGAGGCGCATGACCTACTTGCCTGTTATTAAGTCACTCAGGGCAGTCAACTAAACTGCTTTGACATTTAGCTGACAGAGGATTAAGCCTCGTTCACTTAACTCATTGTTTAGATTCTGGGCAATTTAATAACAGTTTCCCTGAGGAAGCTAGTAATATAATGGACAGTGTACAAGCAGGGAGGTAGAGAGAGATCCCACCAGGTGAGAAGGCAAATCCTCAGCATTAATTTAATTAAATCTCTGCTGAACTCTGTTGGAGACACCCATTTCCTCCCCATTTGCTGAGATCCTAAGGAAAAGGCAAATGGCTATGAAACTATCTGGGAAAGGTCTCAGGGCTCCCTGCAGGAAGTGGTTAGGTATACAAATCTGATGGACATTACACGCTTATAGTTTCAAAGTGGTCTCCTGAATGGGTTTCAGAGAAGTTATGAATCAGTCTGTTTGCATGTGCATGAATGCAGGACTGAACCTGCAAATGAGCAGTGTATGAAACAAAGCCACAGAGATTCTGATGGGGGTTAATGTGTGCAAGTTTTGCAGGCACAAAATCTGACCTACCTGGGGAAATGAAGGCTCAGAGGGATGAGGTGACTCAGCCAATTGCCCTGCAGGAGTCAGTGACAGTCAGAACTAGAGTTCACGAGTTCCTGACTGCCACCACCAACTTGAGACTACTAGACCTTGCCCCTCCAGGTATGTCTAGACTAGAGTTTGTGGTTCCAATTTTACTTAAGTTAATACATTGTTAATTAACTTGTACAAACCAAATGCCTTTGCAAATGCTAATATAATACACACTATACAAGGCTTGCTCCAGGGTGCAAAGACTATGTCTGCATTTCCAAAAAGGTGCCTTTTTACTATCAGATGACTAATACACATAAGCTATCCTGCTTAAACACCTAAGGAGGGGAGACAAGGCTCTGTAATTTTTATTGTGAGGTAGCTAGGTGGGAAATACAGTGTTAACTCACCTAGCTACCTCAGTGTAAAAATTATAGCACCTCATCTCCACCAGGAGACACTAGGATGGTAAAGCAAGATAAGAAATGTCATTAGTTACCCGGTTGTAAAAGGAAAGCTGCTTTTACACAGCAAAGATAAAAACAGAACTAAAAGTCTATATTTATCATAGGGCTCAAACTAATCTTCATCTGAAGGTCCCAAAAGCTGGCTAAACTCAGAGTGAAGGTTTCAAAGAGATTCCAGCAACTGAATAGAAACCAGTAGTCTAATAATGGGAGGTCTGCAGTACTGAAGGACTAAGAAAGACCCTGCATTCATAAGACCATAATGATTCCTGTGGTGAAGAAGGAAGATTTTCCACAACAGCTTCTATCCAGGATGGCAAAGGGACTTAGGTAGAAGCGCAAGAAGTGGCCTTATGCAGAACAGGCAGCTGCAAGGCCAGCTGCATGCCCGGCCTGTCACCCATCTGGAAAGAAGTCAAACAGCCTTCTATTTTGTCCCTTGCTGGCTGGAGAAATTCAGAAGCAAAGGGATTATATTCACATACTTTTGGCAGAATGAAAGAGATGAAACAAAGAGTGAGCAGGCATGTGTGTACTAGCAGGGGAGAAAATGTGTGTACGGGATTTTGTTTTCTTGGAAGAGCTGCATACTAAATTTCCTTTTTTGACCTTCTAATCAGCTAAATGCTGCACACGGCTGCCTTGTGTACCCCAGAGATTACACGATGGCTTTGGAAAGTCAGCCCGAGGCATTCCTATCCGAGAGCCGCGGCTCCATTTATGCCACCCACCGTGCACACTCTTTACAAAGGCACTGGCAATGACGCAAACTATTGCGAGCAATCACCTGAGCAGGCAGAAAGAACCTGTTCTAGGTTAGCAGGGCGAAACAACCCCAAAACAACACAAGCCACCCAAACACTAACACATGTGGAAGCAAAGAAACATAAAAGCTCTAACAGAAACAGATTGGAACCCAGGAGCTTCAAAAACCTTTCCACAGCACCCTCCGCAGTTCTTATCTACCCGAGAGAACTGTAACAGAGAATGCAGACATCTCCATTAGAACAGCCTCAGCATGGTAATTAAAGAAAACAGCAGCTATGCTTCTATACGGCTTCTGTTGCAGGTGTTGCACCAGTTAGAGAGAGAAAAAAGGGTCCTGTTCATAAATACCCATGCAAGCTCTCATCTATGAGGACAGTGCAGGGACATAGCTATGAGGAAGGATATTGGAATATAAAACAAGGGAACTGAGACTCCTAAATCATTTGCAATTTGAAATTTGACTAAGAACAGAGGAGTCAGATACTTTCCATATTTCTAAACAGCAATCCAAGTTAAACCTTTTAGGAGAAGCTGAGATGTTTAACTCCCTCACGTACCCCACCTCAGCTGAGATCTACGTGATTTCTCCTCACTTCTGTACATGTGGCCAGAATGGGAAGGTGAGTTGACTAGAAAGCAAGAAGTCATGAGAAGACCTGGGAGCATACCAAGAGAAGCCTGATTCTGAAAACAGTACAGAAGATACAACAGATCCAATAAAATTCAGAGATGTGCCAGCTTCTAAGATACAAATCCCAACCTGAACTTTGAATCTTACTATTAAGGGCGTGATGCCCAACTTGACAAGACTGTCAATGCACAGACTTCAAGTGCGTAGTACTTGTTTCATTTCTAAATAGAGTCATAAGGAACTGGGAGTCCACAGGCAGAACATTAAAAAAAATAAACCTAGAGAGAAAGTTTTTTTACAAGATGCTTCTACTGTACAAGAATTCTGCTTTTCCTCTAGTGTCTTCCATCTAAAAAGAACAAAGCCAATACGCATCCAGTGGAATAGTGCATCCCAACCCTATGTTGTGCAGGTGAAGAAAACAATACTGAAAGAGTAAGGCATGACTAGAGGGGATCAGCATCAGGGACAGAGTGATAACTGAAGTCCCCTGATCCCCCTCCCTCTCCTTTCTAGCCTCATACCTAATTCATTAGATTGTGTTGCCTCTATTATTTGTTACTCCTTTGTTAGGGAGTTTTGCTCAACTTGACGTTCCTGGTTAGGCACAATGTAGTACAGGGGAGCAGGAAGACTGATGCCTGAGGGGTCCTCACTGTTCCTCTATTCTTTGTAGCACTTATTTTGCTTTGAGGGGATCTTTACCTGCACAGAGATGTGAGGGAGTCCTCGTCCAAAAAGCTGTGGTCAGTCTTCACAGAGGTGATATCAATAGGGAACAGCGAGGCTGAGGAAGAGAAGAGCAGGAGGTAGATTAGAGTCTCAGCTTGTGAATCACCAACTCCAACAGAAGACAAAGTGGGGATTTGGGGGAGAAGACAAGTGTGGAGAGAAAGAGGAGGAGGACAGATATGGAGAAAGAAGAGAAGGGGGAAGAATGAAAGACAAGTAGAGCAGAAGAAGGTTGGAGGCCTTTTAAACTCCAACAACTTGCAGTATAAAGAAGGATATGTCTCTATGGCACAGCCAAGTGCTGCAGAGGGCTACCAGAGCTACTTCTGGACAAGCCAGCAAAGGTACTTGGAACAGTATTGCTAAATTAGCATGACACCCTGTCCAGACTATTTAGCTCTCATAAACAGCAGGGTGCACTACTGTGGGCAGAAAACCAGCTTTGTTGCATACCCAAACCAGCTCATTCAGGTATGTGGTACTCCACTGTGTTGGGAGATACACCCCAAGGGCTGAAAAATGCCATTAAAGCTGGGGCAATACATCTACAATGCATCACATTACCACATGGAGCACCTATCCCAGGAGAACACCTGCAAAATACTTGCTTCCCTGGGATCAAAGAGTGGGAGAGGGAAGCAGTGGTATCCTTCCCAGTGGGTTGGATGCAATATGCAACTACTCTATGAACAGCCCCAACCTGCCTTGGGAGTTTCCAAGGCAAGAGTGTTCAAAACACATGCTCCAAAAGAAAAGTAAAAGGGTTAGCCATATCCTCTGCCCACTGTCCTCCACTAGAAAGATGATCAGCTGCCTCACATTTTGGCATCTTCCAGAGGACAACCAGAGAAGATGGACAGAAGGCAGACAGGAGAAAGATGAGCAGGCACTAGCTGGGGCCTCAGTGTCATGATGATGAGCACAGGAGAAATGCAGAGACTGGAAATATGGGTTAGACAAAGAGATGGTGCTGGAAAGGGAAAAACAAGGTATACAGGACAATGGATGGGAATACCGGAGACAAAAGCAAAGACTACTGAGAAATGCCAACCCCATTACTCAGGAGCTTCCTATCTCACCTGCTCATTCTCAGACAGGCAGTTTCCTCCCTGCAGAGTAAATGCTCCAAGGGGAAGTAACCCTGCCATGTCCTGCATCTCTGGGGAAAATGCTTTACATTTTTTTAAACTACCCCAATCATGAGCTCTAGCTGCTAAATCACATACTCCTTTCAGCAGCGAGAGAAAAAATTATTTTGCTCAGAACATCTGCTAGCAGAGCTCCATACAGGTGTGGGACACCCATGATGTGGACAGGGACAGCCTGGGGGAAGGCAATGCCATGCCAAAGACTCTCTGTTAAGCTTATCAGTCCCTGTAGTGAACAAGCCATTTTAAGAGCTTAGCCTGTGCACACCAGACAGCAGAATCCCACCTCTGAAACTGCCCTACCTACACATCCACAGCAAGGCTCAAAACTCTAACTTCATAAGGGGAGCAAAACTGTTCTATAACCAGCGGCCATGGCACCAAACTGATGCATCGGGACTTCCTCTGCAGCCAGCTCTGGCAACTAAGGGCCCTGGGCTGAGCATAGCTGGTCTGCATCTCTCATTAGCACTCAGTGTGCCCACGGCTCTGGTTCAAACGAAGAATCCTCATCTCCCTCCCAAAGAAAGGAAAAAAGAGAGGAGAACAAGATTGGGAGACAGCACTTACTGTGTTGCGATACCCTTCTCAGACAGTCCTCCTTCCCTAACCCATCCTGAGTAAAGGAAGTGGTATGGGATGTGGACAGGACAGCAGCCCTAACAGTATCACCCAATCTGCCCCAGCACTGACTCAAAAGACATGAGTCAGTCTCAGATAGCAGACGCACTTGCTGGCTTCCAGGCAGTTGCTGGGGGAGGGAATGAAGTTAGCACATGCTTAGAGTAGTGGTATCTTTAAAGGCAACTATCACTGCTTCTCCATCTCTCTTAGGATCTTCCAAAAATACTGCATGATGGGTGCTAAGCACCACCCAGGCAGATGCGTTCTGTATGGCAAGGTCCCTCTGCTCTTTTCTCATCCCTTTTTAAGGTAGCTGTGCTTGAGAACCTACATACATGGTTGTACTTTACCTGTCTCCTATGAGTGCAAAAGCCTAGCTGAAACTGAAGCTGTGAAGTACAGGCTGCAAAACAGAATGAGGCAGTAGGAGAAAGGGACTGGTTTAACAAAGCCTAAGTTGGGACAGGGTTTTATTTTCCAGTATCTAGAACCAGATATTTGTCTCCCTTTGTATGGGTGAGGAGCAACCCAAAGGAACTGGATATGGACCTCACCTATAGAAATCTGGCCAGTCTCTGCACTGGGATACACAAAGGGGTCACACTTAAAATAGAAACTAGGAACAAACAAGCAGCCTAGGAAGCTATCAGTGAGGTGGCATTTTGTATGCATAACATGCTTGGAGGAGATGAGTGGAAGTGTCTAAACTGAACAACAGCTGGCTTTGCACACTGCCTAAAGGCTAAGCTTCCAGCTATTGTTCTAGCCTCCTCCTTCCCTAAACTAGCTTATGCTAAAGTTGCAATTATTCAACACAGGCCACCTACAGGGGGACCAGTGGCCTCCACCATCTCTAAGGTAAACAAAGTAAGGAGACAGGCTTTGCAAGGATTAATTTGTGAACTGGGCATGTGAGAAGCAAGTCTGTTGGACGTATCCAGCCATTCTCTCTTCATACGTGCTTCCCTTCAGGGACCCCACAATAAAGTGATGTGACCAGTTTCAAGCAATGATCTGCTGCATGCTTGGAGAGTACACAAATCTTGCTACTAACTAGTGAGCGGGGGCAGGACACTGCCATCAAGGACAACTAAGTACAGAGAGGAAAAATATTCATTCCCACTCCTGTGCTACACCAAATTTAGCTGTACATGTGTCACTGCCTCCAGAAAACACTAATTAAAATACTTGGAGACAACGTTATCTATTCAGACTGGTCTTTCTCTGGCCTGGCCAGGCATCTTGTGAGCTTTCTAGCAGTACTGCTTGAAGGGGAGAGGTTCAGGAATGCTGAAAGGACAATAGTGGGACCAGTTCTCCAGACCTCTGTCATGTTGGAAGGTTTAAAGTTGTAATGTACAATCAAACAATTAGTGAATTGCCCTCTCTGTCCCCTTTTCTTTCCAGACTGGCCTGAGTGCTTTGAAAAACCTGCAGTGACCACCTGCATCCAAAGACACAGAGGAAAGAACCACACACACAAGGCAAAAATTCCTGAAAACTTCATGGTGGGAAGGCCTGGAATGTATCTCCATGGTCTGAACAAGACCACACAATCAAATTTGGCTCTCTGCATCTGAGTCTTGTCACCTGAAACCCTGCCAGAGCAACCTAGCACAATGTCATCCTGGGTCAGAGCACATAATCAGCCAGTGACCCCCTGACAAAAACAGTTGAGCAGCCACTGCGAAGACCCTCCTGAATCTCTGTTATTCACACATCTCTAAGCTTCAGCTACCAGCTACTCTGAATCTAGCTACACAGGAGTCATCCTCTATATCAGTGTTTCTCAACCTGTGGGTCACAACCCAAAAGTGGGTCACAAGAATGTATGAAAGGGTCGCAAACAAACTTTAAAAAATGGATTCTCTTTTAAATGAGGTTGGGGCCCTGCGTACCCTACACACCCACCCCCTGCCCCACACACTGGGGGGGTGGGACTGGCCACTGATGTTTACAAATGGGCCTTGGTACGAAAAAGGTTGAGATCCACTGCTCTATACCAACAGGAGGCTCCTCTGAATTCTCTTGTTTGTCTGTCTTTACAGTCACCCACAGCTGATACCTGGGCATTTGCCTTTGGAGCCCATTATCCTGCCTCAAGTAGTGGCCCAAAAGAGGAAAAGGGCTTGCCCTCTCTTCTTGAAAGTTAAGAGCTGTCTCAGGACTTCTCCCAGCTGGAGATAGCTCAGGAATTCACTAGCAAAGACCTGGATGGCAGGAAGTGAAAGGGGAGATGAGCAAATTAACACTCCTCCCATTGCTACCCCCTGAGAATACAGCAGAGGCAGCCTTACCTTCATAAAGCTGTGCATACTGAGGAAATCCTGCTGCCCGCAGCCAGTCACAAGCCTCCTTGGCCTCGACTTCTGAAACAAAGCAAATTAATTAGTTTGAGACTCTCAAGCATCCAGAGACCTTGCATTAACTCCAAAGAGCAGCGCTGTGCACGAGATGCTGGTTTACTCCACACACGTTTGGATCACTACTTGTGGCCATGAAACCATTTTTAAAGCACATAAGCCAAAGTCAATGGTATCTCCATAAAATGGGCTGTTTAAAACCCATGTATCCCTTTTGCTAGCAATCACTCCAAAAGGAACGGTTAGCCTCTTGTTGGTTAGCTGGAGACCTCAAGAGCTTTAAGAGCACAACTCAGACGGCACTTTTACGGATCCTAGCCTTTGTTAACTTTACATGGAATAAGAGCAGTGATGAAGGGAAACTGGGGCCAAAGCTGCTTTGTGGCAATTCTGAGTGGCAGAAGTGCAGTTTCTCCCTCTCTACTAGAATCAGTGGCACTAGCATAGAATACGGTGCTATTTCACAAGGGCGGTAGAATCAGGGTCACTGTAGTTATACCATGAGGGACCTGCCCCAGACCCCTGCGCAGAAGTATGCCTGATGACCTGATCTTCAAAACCTCTAGGCACCCACAGCCCCCAAGTTCTACAGCAGCTCTGAGAATCAGACCTTAGGGCAAGAACCCAGCGTGCTGCTCTCAAGCAGACAGACAAAGCTTGTGAAATGAAAAGCAGGACAATGAAGAGGTTTTCTGTAGACTTTAAAGGGGTCCAGCTGTGAATTATTGACAGTGCTGTCAGTGTTTCTTCCTACATGGCCTAAAATGTCTCTTGATAACTCAATACAACAGCCACGGACAATTTAGTTTCTGGGAAGTTCTTGCAAGTTTCAGAACCTGAGGAGTTGGGAAAAATCAGCCAAATGCACAAGCAACTAGGGAGAGCTGTTCTCCGATGTCGGGAATCCCACCGCTTAGTAAGATTCAAGTTTGTGATCATGACCAACACTTACTATAAAATGCAGAGAACCTTACTGTAAATTACTGCAGATTTTAACCCTGCCCATTTCCCTGCTTTGCAGCAGTTCTGTGGTAATACTGATATGCATATGGCCAGATCAGGCAACAGCATCTTGAAATAAACCACCACAAATGCCATTACCCACCCCAACCAAGAGTATTCAATGCATTTATTCAGGACTTGAAAGAAAAAGCACAAAAACAAACATTTCAGTCAGGACTGAGCCAAAACCCTGGACCTGGATACTTCTGAGCTTTGGGGAAGAAGGTTTGGTAAAGGAATATAGATCTGGATCCAACTTTTGCAGCTGTTCTTTAACTTTACAATAGGTCAAACCAAACCCCTGGCTCTGAATCCACCCAAATGCTGAAGAGTTCAAAAGCCACAGGTTCAAATCCAGATCCAAACTGTGGCCCCTGGGTCAAGCTGTCTTCTTAAAAATTAAACTGAAGTTATTTTGGAAAATGCACGCGGGAATGTTTTGCTCCCCCAACTCACATCAGTCACTAAGTGGATGATATATACATTTTGGAACATGGCAACACAGAAAAGCATGCTGCATGCAAACTGCAAAGCTCAGAAAAAACAACCCGAAGTCAGTGCTTTATGATCCCTAAGAAGGACCACATCGTATGGCTCCAATTCCTCCCGTCCTCATCCCCCACCACTCCCCTTCTTGCACAATATATATTTCCAGAAGAAAAAAAAAGAAATCAGAATTTTGTTTCTTGTTTATGAAAGGAGAGAAAACATGTACTGGCAACCTAAGGGCGCTGTGCTTAATTGAGCACAAGGGCTAAGAGGAAAGCAGGTCATTTCTAGTTTAAATGCTTACTATATGTTCCAAGACCCCATCAGGATGACCCTTGCCTGTCTGATTGCAAATTAAAGCATGTTGTACCTTCCTTTTCCCACAGGATTATTATTAAAAATATGAGTCTTTTAACCAAGAACCAGAAAAAATTCCAGATTGCATTTTAATTCTCTTCCGCCATTAAAGATGCTAGCCTGAAGGCCATGGAGAGCAAAGTCCTCTTTTATCCACAGAGCATATACTGCCCAGGAAACATCCAAGCTTCCTATAAACATCCTCAAAGATGCCTTCCCTGAGAGGAACCCTTAGCAGAAATTAAAATCCCTGTGGCCCTTTCAGTCAAGAATCTGAGGAATTAGACGAGGGGGCCAATAGCACCTGCAGTTTTTGTGATGTAGCTATCAGTCCACCAAGAACTAGACTAAGCCCTTCATTTCACGTTGGTCACCAAATAAAATCTAGATATTTTTCTTTAAGGCAAATGCTGTAGATAAGCAATAAGGAATAAAGACCAGCCACAAAAAGATTTTTTTTTCTTTTTTTCGCACATGCTGTTGTGCTGAGCTTACCCCTTAAGGTAGACAGATTGAATTGATAAAATAATATTGCAGAGCTGATGCTGAGCAGGTCTGATCTACCACACATGCAACCTCCAGGACTCACAAAAGCAAAAACATTGGCACAACAGTATTTTCTTCAAGTAATATTCAAGTTGCAGGCAGAGGTAGGCGACAAGACAGCAAAAGGCCGTGGAATCAAAGAATTCTCCATAGACCGAGAAAAGCTGCCTTCTGCTCCTCCACAAAGGCAGGGAGTGGCATGTGCGCAGTAGGCAGGTCTGGGATCTGAGTGAACTCTGCTTCACATCACCAGTGGAAATATGAAGTCAGAGAGTGACATTTCCTTCCCCTCCAAGCAAAGTCGTTCCAATATACACTGAATGGAGGAGGGGATAGAGAAGTGAGAGGAAGTCTGAAATGTGCCTTTCTTTTAGCTGGTTGCAAAGAGTTTCACATGTCTTTTAAAATACGGTATTCACCGTGAAATGATGAATCCTGTGTTTTATCCCAAACCACTTCTTATAAGAAAGGATTCTAGAGATCAAATACACTAGAAACAGGGTGACAGACTCCACCCTGACCACACAGGATAATCTCCCCCAGCACCACTGCAGGCACTGGAAAAATTTCAAAGCATCTCCATGCAGGCCAAGAGACTGCAGTTGATTTCCGCCTTTGCTCCCACCCCTTACACAAAAAATACTTTCCCGAGGAAATCCTGGAAAGGATCTTTCCGAGGCCTGATAAGAAATGCTAGAATAATATTTATGATAACACAACCGGATTCCAAGCTGCCTACCAAAGGAAAAGCATCACGGTAGGATCCAGAGCAATGAAACAGGTGCGTGAGCTGCAGCATCCAGAAAAGTTAGTGCCCAGTCTCCAGATGGATTTCTCTCTCTGTCTCAGAAATAACAAGCCATCCCGCAAGGCCCGTACATCCACAACTTGCCAAGAGGGTCACTATCCCCTGTGGAAGGGGCAAAATATAAATTTACTTTGAAAAGGAGGAGTGAATTCTGTTTCCTAGTATACCAATGGAAAAATCAGAATACTCCACCATGCAAGAAAACCATTAGCACTGCCCAGGATAATGCCCTCCTCATTCTTCAGAAATGAATTAATAATATTAAAAAATGCACAACTCCTCCTGTGTCTTCCAGTGCGTCTGATTTTGTATAAGTCCATATTGCAGACTTGTTGGGATCAACCTTATTTTGCATATTGTGGGGCTAATTTGTGGAAAACAGCTAAAGATACCTGGAGACAGAGTTTACAATTTCTCTGAGACTGACCCCACAGCCAGTTTCATTTTTCTTGTTCTTGATGGAATTATTAACATAATTTTCCTGAAATCTCCTCTATTTCCTTGAAACGCCTACACAGATCATCAACACCACATGAAGATCCATAAAAAGATGTCAGAATTAACCCTGTTTCTATTTTCATTTTTTTTTCTTTCCAATGAAAATAGGGGGAAATCTTTACTTTTCATTATCTTCTCGTCAAAGTGGGCTGCTGTTATATTTTGATTTCTACTGACAGCAGCCACTAAGTAAAAAACAGGAAGAGAAAGTGACTAGAATCAAAGTGAAATTGTCTCTAGTTTCACCACTGAAAGTAAAAGAAAAAAAAAAAAAGAGATTAACATAAATACCTAAAGAAAAAGAATAATCCCTGTGGTTATTACTAGCACAGATCATTTCATTTCCTTTTTATAGAGAAATTTTATATCGATGCAACATGCTGGTGAATGTGTGTTATAACTCCCTGTGTTATAGATCCACTGCTGCTCTGTATCCTAGCTGTTTAGGTCAATATGCAACAGTTCATTGCTTTTGGCTCACAACCGCCATAGTTTGTTCCCACTGGTGTTAGACGAGATAGCAGCCACTGCACTAAATAAGCAATGATTGCAGAGAAAATACACTGGGTGGGCAGGACGCTCTGATCCCATCCCACTCGGCTTTCTCTTGGTGAGATTGTGGGAGGGGGGAGGCAGAATGTTGCCAAGAATTCAGAAAGATCATGACAGGTCAGCGCACTTTTAACACTACATACTCCTATTTGAAATCTCTCTCACAAATCAAGTTTGCACAACTAACAGAGCTAACCACTGTGTAGCACACCGCAGCACCCTCGAAAGGATCTTGAGGCATCCCAGTGCACCATGACATTCTGGTTGAGAATCGCTGTTTTAGCGATACAACACAGCAGCCATGATGCTCAGGAATGGCAGGAGCAAAGACAGTTTTAAGCAAGACAGTGAATCACAGGATTTGCTTTATGGGCTGCAGCACAGCTCAGAAGCTGCAGATTCAGGCACAACCAACCCCGTAGTTAGTGCACACCACTTACTGGAGACTGTGGAGCACAGCAGATGGCTGGTCGGACAGATCCAACTCTGTAGCCACACCAGCACAATTCTCTCCCTGCCACCTGTGGTACGTGCAAACGCCTACCTGCTGTCCAAGCAGCATACACAAGCTGTGCTGGGGGAGGGCACACTCAATCTCTCCCTTAAGAGTTTTTAGGGACAATGGAAAATCCTATCCCAGGATAGACAATAAGCTTGCTAGTAAAACATGAGGGATACAATAAAATATGGACAACTGAAGATAAACGAGGCTCAAACACTGGAGGCAAATTGAATTAAAGAATAACAACCATTT